ATATTTAGTCTTTGTAGAGTCTCGAGAGACTGTATTTCGCTTCTTCAACTTCCATGAAATTGGAGAAAGCAACTACTACTTCAAAATACTAACCGAACATGCCATTTGAGGCTGTCAAAAAATGTGCCTTTAACACGAGATTTAGTCATGACATCACTAACCACAAGTTATAAAAGGTATCATGTCAATAAACTACATGGTAGAATGCAATTCTTGTTCAGATTTATGTTCGTGTGATTAATGGAAATAACTAACATATAAGTGGGTATTGATTTAGTTGGAAAGTAAGTACTAAGTTATACCTATAAGCGCACCGATAGATTGTATAAAGAATTTAATATAAAATTATAATTGTAGCAAGTTAAAAGGCGACCATCCAGCATTGATAGTTAAAAATGCAATCTAGTCAAAATGTAATCTACTTGGGAGATACTTTAATCAATAATTCGACTAAACAGATCAAGTCAGTTCAAGTATGTTCTAGACAACTTTTCAATATGAATCGGATAGATTTAGGCCTTGTATATGAGTGTTGGTTTGGATTTCGGGTTTTGCAATCAAATCTATCTATACCGGACCCAAACAAATTTTCTTCTTTTGGAGATTGTTGACCTATGGTTAATTTCATTCTTAATGTTTTGATTATAAGAAGATTAATATTGTTTCTAACAATTGATTTCAAGTAATGATAGTTCAATGTTAAAATCAATCAAGCATTATAAATCAGACTCCAAATGAAAATCAAAGTGGAAGTTAAACATTCAAATCAACCCATTTGAAACGAGAGCTTAAAAGATAGATTCCAAGAAAGATGAAGGCCAAGAGCATAAGAGGTGATATCAAAGAAAGATCAAGACGAGAAGTCTAAAAGACAAATTTCAAAGCAAGATAAAAAAATCGACTTCTTAGTTCAAATATAAAAGTATTAATACTTTGATATTTAGTAATGAATGATAAAAGTTTAAAAATTGTTTTATACATGAAAAATTATTTCATAAAAACATTTGCATAAAAAAAAATTCTTAAAAACGTTAAGTATTTCAATTTGATATTTAAATTTTTTAGAACATTACCTTGAAAAATAAAAAGAAAACGTCTTTCAAAAGCCTATATTTTTCAAAACAATAAAAAAAAAAAGGTCAAAGCGGACGTCATATTCGCCCAACAGTCGATTTTTTAACCAATTCTGATGCACAATGGTTCGTTTTGTTGTCCAGTTTAGTATGCGGGCGTCTGGATGAGTCGTCCGATTAGACAGAATTTTTGGCGCTTTGATTGTTATAAATATCACTTTACTTTATATTCATTACAACAACTAGAATAGAGGCTTTTTGTGAAATATATTTATAAAAAATCTTCTTTGAGTTTATATTTTTACATCCGTATCATTTATTTCTTCCTAAAAAAAAAATTTGATTGTTGAATCAAACTTCTTGAATCATTTTTCTCATCGAAATTTTTCACTTCTTTTTGTATTTAACTTATTTATATCAATTTTAAAAGATAGATAAATTTTTTAAGAAAATATTTGCACTTACATTGTATAAATTTTTCTACTTCTTCATATTGAAAATTTTGATTGATTGAATCAAATTTGTAAAATCATCATATTTATCAAAAAAATTATTTCTTTCTTAGAACTTAATTTATTACAATTATCATTAAAATAGTGATATATCTTAAAAACAAAAATTTGAACCTATATTACATTTATTTTTTTCATCTTCTCATTGAAACACTTTGATTGATTGAATCTAATTTTTTAATTATCATATTGAGGTATCGTAAAACTCAATAGTGTATAAGAATTTGTGCTCCTTATTTATAAGTTAATCAATATAGTGAAAAGACCTTACTCGTGCCAGAGAATTTCGTAACGAAGGGCGTAGATCATTAATTTGAATCGAATATCAACAATTATATCGTCCACATTATTTCTTCATTTTATTTATCGATTTTACATTTGTACTTATTATTTGAATTAATCTATTTACTCTTAATTTAGATTAATTCTTTGAAAAAGTTTTAAAAATCAATTCACCCCATATTGATTAGTTATTCTTGGGCCACCGGAGATTAAACCAAAATCAAGATTTTAGAAGAATAAGTGAAAATCACAAACACGCTCTAGCCACATTTTTATGTAGAATTGATTTTGTAATAGTGATTTTTTAAAAAGAATACGTGGTTAAAAAATGTGTAAAATTATTTTATTAATTAAATATGTGATTGGTAAAAATTAAAACCAAGATTTTAATTTAAGTCAAAGTAAATAATTAATCTTATTCTCACATTTTATGGATCCACAATTTTTGATCACATATTTTATCAAAATTTACTGAAAATCTAATTTTGTTAAAAAAAAACATATTTATAGACCTAAGGCTAAAAGAAAAAAATGGGCTTATTCCAAAGCCGAGCTGATTGAAGTGAACTCTAGCTCTAGCCGGACCGATTGAGTTATACTACTGGCTGCGCGAACCGCTATTGCTACCAGGAGGAAATTGTGGAAAATACTCGGCCACTTTTTCACAATACCCGTTGACCATGTAAAAAAAATGAAAAACTAAAAAAAAACTTAAAAGTCCAGCATTTTCCTATTTTTACCCTCACACGTGACTTGGAAGAGAGTTGGGAGAGAAAAAGAAAACATGTTTTCGAATTTTTGTTGATTATCTTCTAAGAAATTATTGTATTAACAATTATTAATGGATGAAATGTGATTTTTGTGAGATTTGGAGGTTGGAGATCGCTGAAAATAGCGTTTTCCGGCGATCTGCCCAAACTTATTTTAAACTACTTATTGAAACTGTTTATAAACAATGAAACAAATTATTTAAAATAAATTATTTCTATATTTTGATAGTTGTCTAATATTTACTTACAAAAAAGAGTTTATNATATTTAGTCTTTGTAGAGTCTCGATAGACTGTATTTCGCTTCCTCAACTTCCATGAAATTGGGGAAAGCAACTACGACTTCAAAATACTAACCGAAAATGCCATTTGAGGCTGTCAAAAAATGTGCTTTTAACACGAGACTTAGTCATGACATCACTAAACAAACGAACACGTCGAGAAACTATGGTAAAACCACAAGTTATAAAAGGTCTCGTGTCAATAAACTATATGGTAGAATGCAATTCTTGTTCAGATTTATGTTCATGTGATTAATGTAAGTAACTAACATATAAGTGGGTATTGATTTAGTTGGAAAGTAAGTACTAAGTTACACCTATAAGCGCACAGATAGATTATATAAAGAATTCAGTATAAAATTATAATTGTGGCAAGTTAAAATGCGACCATCCAGCATTGATAGTTTCAAAATTACAGTAACTTTTGCAGTTTTATCTTCATTTTTACTACTTTATGAATAAATTCGAATGACATAATAAAAACTAAAAGAAAGTGTTGGGGCTGATCAATAATTCGACTTAACAGATCAAGTCAGTTCAAGCATGTTCTAGACAACTTTTCAATGTGAATCAGATAGATTTAGGCCTTGTATACGAGTGGTGGTTTGGATTTCGGGTTTTGCAATCAAATCCATCCATACCGGACCCAAATAAAATTTTCTTCTTTTGAAGATTGTTGACCTATGGTTAATTTCATTCTTAATATTTTGATTATAACAAGATTAATATTGTTTCTAATAATTGATTTAGAGTAATGATAGTTCAATGTTAAAATCAATCAAGCATTATAAATCGGACTCCAAATGAAAATCAAAGTGGAAGTTAAACATTCAAGTCAACTCATTCAAAACGAGAACTTAAAAGATAAACGCCAAGAAAGATAAAGGTCAAGAGCATAAGAGGCGATATCAAAGAAAGATCAAGACGAGAAGTCTAAAAGACAAATTTCAAAGCAAGATAAAAAAATCGACTTCTTAGTTCAAATATAAAAGTATTAATACTTTGATATTTAGCAATGAATGATAAAAGTTTAAAAATCGTTTTATACATGAAAAAATTATTTCATAAAGCACTCGCATAAAAAAATATTCTTAAAAACGTTAAGTATTTCAATTTGATATTTAAATTTTTTAGAGTATTACCTTGAAAAATAAAATGAAAACATCTTTCAAAAGCCTATATTTTTCAAAAAAAAAAAGGGTCAAAGAGGACGTCATATTCGCCCAATGGTCGATTTTTTAACCAATTCTGATGCACAATGGTTAGTTTTCTTGTCCGGTTCAGTATGCGGGCGTCTGGATGAGTCGTCCGATTAGACAGAATTTTTGACGTTTTGATATATTCATTACAACAACTAGAAGAGAGGTTTTTCGTGAAATATATTTATAAAAAATCTTCTTTGAGCTTACATTGTTACATCCGTTTCATTTATTTCTTCCGAACAAAAATTTTGATTGTTGAATCAAATTTCTTGAATCATTTTTCTCATCAAAGTTTTTCACTTTTTTTT